ACACAAACGCATACACACAGAAAAAAGTTCATACGAACACATGGAAAAGAGTGAAAATACACACACAGAAAACATGTACATGTGTATGCACACACATAAACATGCATATGTGTATGCACACATATAAACATGCATATGTGCATACACACATATAAACATGCATATGTGCATACACACATATAAACATGCATATGTGCATACACACAGAGTTGCCTAATAGAATTTATTATCTACTCATCAGTAAAAGAGTCTGACCAATAGAGCGCTGGGAGATCAAAGATGAAAAATTGTATTCAGACAGACACTGGCTTAGAGAAAAATCATGAAGGTAATAGACAAAGCAGCGTCTAGCAGACATCAATGGTCTCCCTCCCACCCTGAATGCACTGAAAATGTCTGGAACAGAGAGGAAAGAAAGAGAAATTTTATCAGTTGTCTTAAAGAGCAGTGGTAGGAGGATCAGTGAGGTTACCATTCTAAAATAAAGATCAATGGCGAATGATACAAATGATGCAAATGTGATGATGCATCACTGGTAAATGGTTTCAGGTCACAAATTCTCATAGGGTCTTCTAGAATTTAAAACCCAACATATGACATGACAAGAAGATGGGTTTAATATCAAACAAAAAACAATCATATATATTTAGCTGATATCTTGATACAAAAATAAGTCTGCCACCCAAGCACATCAGAAAAATCAGCATTTAGTTTTAATTAAATAATACTAAATAGTATACAGGTTTCCCTTGTTATAAAAGTCAGGGTAGGCATATCTTACCCTGAAACCCCCTGACCTGGAGGAGTTGGGGTTCGGTCCCCATTATGGACCCTGCCATTTTTTTTCAGCACTGTTTTATGGCCATCCACTGATTTCAGTAACTCTTATTTTTTAAATTGTAATTTTCTTTCTGAAAAGTTCTTTTAAATCAATTAAGAGGATAATGTCTCGGTAAAATCTTTTTTTTATTGAGAGATTATCCTTAAAAGGATTATCTTTTTTTCTTTTTTTTTTTTACTAATAGCAATACTAACCAGAAGTCAACAGATAATAATTAAAATAAAATTTCTAGTCCCTATTTTCTAAAATCCTAGAAAAATAAAACTGAGAAAATGATTGCTTAAAAAAAAAATAAAAATGTTTAAAGATCTCAACAACTGAAAGATTTTTCCAAAAACTGAAATCCTGTTTCTAAAACAAATTTTTAAGACAATCCTGTTTGTGTTGTGTTGGAATCTTTGTAAAACTTTTTTTTTTTCAGTGGAGATGTGTTAGTGATTAATCCTTATGGAAATCTAAAAAGTTATATGGTCAATCATCAACTATAATAATCAACAGGGCCAGTGCTTACTTCCCAGAACCTCTCGGCCATGTGGGGAGGTGGGAAGAGAAGAAAAACTAATTTCAGTAGTGCTTATTTTTTTTTAAATTGTAATTTTCTTTCTGAACAGTGCTTTTAAATCAATTAAGAGGGGAATATATCTCAGCCAAATCATTTTTTATTCTGAGATCATCCACTAAGAAGGATGTCTGATTTTTTTCTTTACTAATAGTAATACGAACCAGAAGTCTAGTCATTAAAATAAAATGTCTACTTCCTATTTTTTTTACATTTCTAGAAAGAAAAAAAACCAAGAAAATGATCACTTAAAAAAAATAAAAACGTTTAAAGATTTCAACATGAAAATTTTCCTGAAAACTGAAATACTGTTTAGAAAACAAATTTTTAAGACAATCCCAAATTTGTGTTGTGTTGGAATCTTTGTAAAACTTTTTTCAGTGTAAATGTGTTGACGATTAATCTTTATTGAAATGTAAACATTTGCGACTTAAATATTTTATTTCGAGTAAAATTCAGTCATGAAAATAGTGTTGGTCATTACAAAAAGAATAACATTTTCTCAGATTTTTTTTAAAAAAAATAAAAAGCCTACTCATTATAGAAGTTAATAATTAATGAACATGTACTGAAATTTACATTGAAATTGGATAATTCCCTGATTTTTAGTAACTTAAAAAATGCTGCCACCCCCACTTTCCCCAACCACACACACGTTTTCCTTTGAGGGTTTGTGACCCCCAGGTTTGGAAACTTTGAAATCAACATGTAGTAGAGATGGGGCCTCATATCAAAGTTTTGAGATGGGTCTGAGGCCCTATTGCTGACCCTGCCAAAAGCTGAGCATCTTTGGGAAACCTTTTATAAACTGAAATAGCATAAAGTTAATTTATAATTGCCATTAATTTATATAGAAGATATTTTTAGGGCATTTGCTGGCACTCCAAAATAACCTTATGTGAGAGTTTCACCATGAGTAACATTCTGCTATGATTGCAAAAAGTATAGCTTAATTTCAAAAGAGCACATAGGTTTAAGGCAGGTTTACAATGTGTTCTTATTGCTGACAGAATAACAGAATATGTGTGAGATGAAGCACTCAAGGATGTACCCATAGTATATTGGTTTTGAGCATAGCAAGTGAGATTAGCAGGTCAAATGCAAATCATGTTCACTTTTACACAAATACCCTTAATAAAGGATTGAATTCATCTCTTTTTTCATTCATTTGTATTTAGGTAAAAATAGTAGAGTAGACTGGGCTTCCTAGCTTTGGTTGGAAGCCAATCTAAAAGAAGGACTACTCTGAAACCTAGAAAATGGAGAATGTAATAGGAAATCACACCACTGTCTTTCCCAAGAAATTTGAGCCTTGGTTGGCAGCCAGTCTAGAAGAAGGATTACTCTGAATTTAACAACATGGAGATGGTAATAGAAAATCACTACAATGTTCTTCTCTAGAAATTTGAGCCTTAGTTGGCCACCAGTCTAGAAGAAGGGCAATTTTGAATTCAAAACCATGGAAGAGGTAACAGGAAAGCACTACGCTATCTTTCCCCCAAAATCTGTAGAGAACCATTTTTTTTATAGCATGGACCAGCTTCATGTTGGACAATCTTTCTGAGGATCAGTAGTGGCACATATGTGTAATTTAAATGCATTTCAATAAAAAGAGCAATTTATTAAAGGGAAGAAAAAGTTTGTAATCTTTTGACTGATGTCTAGGTCTCAGCCCAACCACACCCTTGTGTGATTAGTTTTCCTGAATCAATCTCTATTACACTATTATCACATTAATATCAACTTACCATAATGTAGAATCAGTGTAATCCCTGAGCTTGTTACCCTGCAACTAGACAGCCCCCTCTGGGAGGGAAGGGAGACAATAATGTTTGAAGTGTGTTCTTTATGTCTAGTCTAATTTATAGTTTTGTTTTGGTTGCATGCCACTTACATATTAGCAAATCAGCCACATTTCCTCCATATTCCATTGGTGAGAAGTAAGTTCCACTTGAGCAGCTTCTTCTCAAGAACCACTGCCCTGTGGAATCGACTCCCAACAGAATGTTTCCCTGATCACTACAATCTTAACATATTCAAGGCTAGGGTTAATCATTATCTCCCACACCCATACAGACAGATGGCCTCCTAACGTAAACCTCTACCTCGAGTGGCCCCCAGCCCTTGTAAAGGGTGACTCACTGTAAAAAAAAAAAAAAAAAAAAAAAGAGAAAGTCCCACTTCACAAAGATATGATGTTGGAAATTAAAGTCCGAAATTAAATTTATCTATTATATAATTTTAAACAAGTTAATTATTTCTTTGTGGCTTTTGAGCAAATGACACACAGTCCAGTACTGGTCCATGGCCCAATGGTTGGGGACCTTGAGCCTAATGGATATATCATTTAAAGATACAAAATAAAGGATAATGGCATTCAAAACCATGAAAAAGGTAACAAAACACCACTACACTATCTTTCTCAAAAAATCATAGAAATTCATAGATCATAAAGAAAAAGAATCTGTGGAGAGCCATTTTTTATACCATGGACTGACTTCATTCTGGACAATCTCTCTGAGGATCGGTAGTGGCACAAATGTAATTTAAGTACATTTCAATAAAGAGAGCAATTTATTAAAGGGAAGAAAAATGTATAATCTTTTGACTGATGTCTGGGCTCCAGCCCAACCACACCCTTGAATGTTTAGTTTTCCTGAATCAATACCGATTACACTATTATCACATTAATATCAATTCACCATAATGTAGAATCAGTAGGGGCTCTGAGCTTGTTTTCCTGCAACTAGACAGACCCAACTGGGAGTAATGGGAGACAATGACACTTGAAGTGTGTTCCTTATGTCTAGTTTACTTTGGGGTTTTATTTTGGTTTTTGCCATGATGACAGAAAACTCCATATCACAAAGATATGATGATGAAAATTAAAGCCTAATATTCAATTCTTCTATTATTTAATTTAAAACAAAATAATTATTTCTTTGTGGCAAATGATCCACTGAATGGTACTGGTTTGTAGCTCAGTGGTTGGAGACCTCTGCTCTAAACAGCATCCACTTTTCAACAGGAGTAGAATTTTATACCTTGTTTCTGGCTTAGGATTGAGTTATTGGATCTTTCTAAAAAATTTTCATTCTTTTTCACCCAGTTTTTTTTTTTTTATGCCTTTTGTGTCTTACTGGCATTGTTGCCTTGCTTGGGGTGAATTGAAAAAAAAAAAATTTCATATAAAATTAATAAAGGCAGATGTCATGAACTATAATCACCTATATCCCCAAAATCTGGGCCTAATGGATACATCATTTAAAGAAATAAAATAAAGGATAATGACATTTTTTTAAAATCCAGGAAAAAAATGAAATGGCATAAAAATGACTCTTTTGTTCCTAATTTTCAATGCATTTCCCCACTAAAATTACTTAGAAAACATTTTTAAAATAAATATTTCTCTATTGCACATATAATTGTCCTGTTTTACGAATTAACCAATAGCTGGGGAGAAAGAAGAGGTGGATTCATATTTTTCCCCAAGGGTATTTGTGCGTAAATGAATATAATGAACCCAACTTGAATTGGAGCTCTGCTATCCAATTAACAATTTCAAGCCATTATCCATTACACCATACACTCATCCAAGTTTACAGAACCTGGTATTCCTAAGCAGTCACTCATCTATGTACTGACCAAGCTCAATGTTGCTTAACTTTGGTGATCATATGAGAACCAGTGTTTTAATAGATATTCAATAACTAAAACCCATCTTGGTGCTAGGAATGGATTCTGTGAATTTTTAACCCCCTACCCCACCTGATGGTCTGGTTTTCCTGAAAATTATTTAGAGATTCTTGATAAAATCAAAAGAAGACTCTGCAATATTATTGGTCCTGACCAGGCATCTTGGCTTCAGTGACTTTCCAACTTCCATAATAGAGCTTCCTTCTGCCTTTTTTATAAATACTTTTATGGTAATTGTTCTGATGAACTTTCCTCTACAGACTGTTTTTTATTCCCCTCCCCCAACCAAAGAGAAAAAAAAATGTACATATAGGGACTAGTTATTGCATCATAGAGACTTTGTGGCATTATGGTGGCTGTAGTAAGAATCATAAGTAAGAATGTGTTGTTTTGGGGGTTAAGGAATACTGTGGTATGTTTGGGTCAATGATTGTGGCTAGTTAAGTTTAATTATATTACAGAATAAGACTGACCTTCCCTATCCCTCCCCTTGGCTTTGTGCCACATTTTTGCATTTTACAAAATAAATATTACTTTCCTATATTTTACCTAGACTTTATGAATTTATATAGTACTAGACTGGCAGCAATGACTCATCATTTTATAGTTGAATTGGTTAGATATAAATAAGTTTTTTGATAACAGTTTCTTTTCTTGTACTTCTTGCCTGTGGAACTCCCTTTTGGCTTCTTGCTTTCCAGTCAACTTTGATTTTCAAAAATTCAATTGCAATGACAATCATTATCTATTGTCTTCTTGATTCCTCTTTTTAAACTTTTCTCGCTTCACAATTTTCTTTTTTCTCATATTCTCTAATACTCAGTAACTCCTTGCATCTTAGTGGCTTTATTGCCTTGCTTGGAGTGAAATGATTAAAAAAAAGAAAAATAAGATTTGAGGAATTTTTATTCTTTTTCCATTTTCTTTTCCCTGCTGCTAAATGATTATAATTTAAAAAAACAAATAACAGAATGGGATTTGGTAATTTACCAAATATTTAATCTATTAAAGCCTATTGTATATATTAATCTTCATTTATTTTGAAGAAGGCATGAAAGGTAAAGAACTAACAAAAAAAAAAAAAGGAACAGATAAAAATATTTTTTTTTATCAAAGTTGTTCTGAATTCTTCTTGGATTACCAGATATAAACAACACATGAAGGAGACAGCCAGAGAGAGAGAGAGAGACTGGCAAACAGAAGATATACCGATTTAAGATTTCTTCTCCCAGACAAGCAACTGAGGTTTGCTGCTCTTAATAGGAGTAAATGATAATAAACCAAGTCAAATTTGGTTATTCAATCTGTTCTCGGATTTTGGAGATGACAGAGTAGTTTTAAATATTATTCTGGGTGTTACAAAATTAAAACTGATATTTTAAAGCAAAGAGTAAAGAGAAAAACATTATTTTTTATTTTATAGCTAACCTGGACAGTATAATGTAGGTATCTCCACTAATTCAATACAACAGAGCATACCCTGATGAAAAAAGGCTCCAAATTTGATGAAAACAATTTTTTATCATCTAAATATTTGTTGTTATTAAGAGGAAAGACCAAAATATTTTTTGATTAATTTTTTTTTTACATTTTTTAATTCTTCCTAGCACATTCGTTTTTTTTTGAGTCAGCAAAATTGCCAAAAATCAATGATATCTGTCATCTTTTTAGAAATTTATAAACAAAATTCTCCATTTAAAAATCTTGTAAAAATCAATTATACCTTTTTCAAAAGCTATGTGAGGAAAATTAGAAAATTTAAAGTTTACTTAATGTAATTGGAAACAAATGTTACTTAATTTTTTAGTAGAAAAATTTAGTTGAAAATAAGAGAAGCATGTCTAACTGTGGTGACTTGTTTTAGTGGTGTGAATTGACGTGTACATTGATGTATCAACAACTTACATGAGGGGAAGTTATTGGACAGAAGTGACAATATTTTCGAATTTTAAGTGAAGCTTATTTTACTATACATTAATTTTAAAAAAATTAAATGCAACAATGATGGTCAGGGTAAGTCAGAGAATTTAACATGCTTGCCAGAAAGAAAACAAAATTTTTTTTCTGAGAATGGGTTCTTGCTGTCAGGAGAAACAACTCTTAAAACATAACATTTATGTCTCAAACATCCATCCATATATTTAGAAAAAGAGTTTTAAAACTTTTTTTTTTCCTCAAAAAATATTTTAAAAATATCTGTGTATCGCAGATGGTAATAAGCTTTAAAACTTCCGATCTGTAAAAATCGGTCTACTTAATAAAAGAATTCCCTAATGGGCACAGATTAAAACTTAATTTTAAAATTTTTAACACATTTATCACATTTTGTATTTAAAATTGGAAAAGAAAACAATTCTTGTAAAAATTCATTTTTCATAGGAAAAATATTTTGACTTCAGACAATAATGTCCTTAACATATATTATTCATACAAGCCATTAAAAACTTTTCTGATTAAATAATGTCTTAGTTTTATTAGGTTTTGTATTTTACAATTCAGAGCTGAATTTGGGGTAGCTGGGTATTTTTATTTTACAAAAAAAAAAAACCTAAAAAAACAATGATTTATATTCTTCAAAATCTTCTGCTTTTGACTAATATAAATAAGAAAATACACGCTATCTAATTTCTCAAGTTTTCATAAAATTAAGTATGGGTGGGGCGTATAACAAATGTAAAAAAAAACAAAAAAAAACGTCTAAAATAATTTCATTCATTTGGGAATAAGTTCCTAAAGTTTCATTAAAATCCAACTATTCTTTGATTTTTGCAACAATTTCCAAATCAATGTGATTTTTTTTTGAAAAAAAAGGCGCTAAAAAAAAAAAAAAAAAAAAAAAACTAATGGTAAATATTATGTAGACTGCTGACATAAAAAAAAAAGAAAAAGATTTTTAACCAAAATTTCAAACATGCTAAAAAGGATAAAAAAAAAATTTAATAAAGTAATTAAAAATTACTTTGGGGCCTCTTTTCATCATGCTATGCTGTTTTTTTTTGGGTTTTTTTCAACGAATTAATGGGGATATTAAGGATAAAAAAAAAAAGAATAAAAAAAACCTGAGCAATTTTTGTTTATCACTTTTCAGAGCTCAAATCAGAGACTAAAAGAAGTCTTCATTGGGCTGAAAATAGGATTTGGTTTGTTTTACGGCATATCAACCTCAATGGGTTATTTAATGCTGACAAAATTTTTATTGCTGGTAATATGTTTTTCTTCAAAATTCTATTTCTGGGAACATTTTTCCTTGAAGAAATCTATCACTGGTCATATTTTTTCCAAAGAATGTATAACTGTTTGTATTGCTGGTATTTTTTTAAGTATTGCTGATAATTTTTCCTTCAAAAATGATTGCTGGTAATAATATTTTTTTATTATTATTACAAAGTATTTCTGGTATTAAAACCTATATTTACACAAGTTTGGGTGTTAACTATTTGCCCATAGCTGGGACCCTAACAGGTGCTACCACCCCAGGTCAGGGTGGACCTGAGAACACCAGCAATTAAGAGGTCTGAAAATAGGGGGGAAGATTAATAAAAGAAATATACACATATATCAACACTAAACCTATAGATGTGCACATTTCACTTATCACTTGCCTTGATAAAGTTGAATGGCAAAACATGTCAGCAAGGACTAAGTACTGTTTCCCTGATAGTCTGTTGTCTTCAATTTGTCTTCTCTACATATTTGTTCTGAGAACTTACACACACAAACGATAAAATAGTACATTATTTGGACTGTTGTCCTCAGCTTTGTTGCCATATTTATTACAACGTTTTGGCCGTTGTATGCTCCAGCCTTCTTCGGTGGTTGGAATGTTGAACTGAACTCTTTATTTCTCACACTGTTTGGGTCCTGTCACTGGATCTAACAATGCCTTTATCCACTGTGACATGTGTCCTTGAGTTCAATACCCAGTTAAGGCAGTGGAGAACTTTCAGGGGGAAATTAACAGGAGATAACTGATAACTGACATCTATTAAACGTGGCACGTGGAACTAGAACAGTCTAACCCAGTGAGTGAAATAAAGGGTTCAGTTTGACATTCCAACCACCTGAAGAAGGCCAGAGCGTACAACGACCTAAACATTGTAATAAATATGGCAACAAAGATGAGGACAATAGTCAGAATAATGTAAATAATGGATACCTCATCTCAGAAATATAGACAGATAATGATAAAATAGTTTTAAGATATGCTATATTTATGAGTAAAAGTGCTCAATATTAGGCATAAAGCATGTGCAAGTACAAATGACCTGAAGATTGTGTTCATGAAACAGACTATTGCCACTCAAAGTCCACTTTTATACTTATATATATGTATTGTTTTAAAAATTACCTTTTCAATTAAAGGTCTGAATGTACTCTTCTCAAAACTGAGAACATGACTTTACATTTGGATACAGCCCACTGACACTTATGTAATAGATGTTCAGCTGTTGCAGATCCATATGTATTGACTCATCTATGCAAATTATTACTTTGCCCTCGACACATTATCACATGCACATTTTGACTTATTGACACTAATTACATTCAGTCTATTAACCTCATCCTTGTTGTTACTATCACAATGTTTTGGCTGTTGTGCCTTCCAGCCATCATCAGGTGTATATTGATCTGGGTAACTGATAGGGAATTCTGAACTAAACCCTTTATTTAATCTACAAGGGCATACTGTTCATGTATCACTGCCCATGTCTAGGGATATTGTCTAGTTTTTATTTTTAGTACATGCTCAGTTATAGCTTGCTCTGTTTCCTCTGAGTCCAAGTACACTCTGCCTGGCCCAGGGATTGAACTCACTATGTCATCAAATTCACAAACCAATGCATTAATCCACTTAACTATAGTCCTGTAAGACAGAATTCCCCATAGGTTACTCAGATCAATATACACCTGATGAAGGCTAGAGGGTAGAATAGTTGAAACGTTGTGATAATAACAAACATGAGGTCAATAGTTCAAATCTAAATAGTGTAAATGATGATAACTCCTTATCCTATATGATAAGTTGATGTAAAAATTCTATCACAATCATTGCTTCTACTGCTTTTCTTACAGTCAATGAATTGTTATGAAGAGAACAGAATCACAATCTGATTTACTGTCAGTGCAAGAAGACTCAAGACAAAGAAATTTCTTTGAAGATATCTCATTGATTCTATATTCCTTGTCGGTAACCATTGGCAACACATAACTTTTACATAAAACAGTGGATATTTATTTTTTGAATTCTATTTCTTGAGTTCTGATATAAAACCAGTGCATGGACATTGTGAGAATGTCTGTAGAAAATAAGTATATATTTACTGTTAGTTTGAAAATATAGTTATTGTGTGTGAATGCGTTTAGTCTAAAGTCATACAGAAAACCCATCTAGTATAAGACGATGATAGTATACACCAAAAAAGAAAAAGCTATCAAAAGTGTGGGTGTAAATTTTACAAGAATGTTTTGGTAAAATGCAAATGCATTTAAGTGCAACACAAAAAGAGCATAATTATTTTCTTTTTTTTATATAAAAAAGTGAACACTCAAAACAAACTCTTCTATGTGCTATGTCCCTTCAAGACATGGGTGATCATAGCTCTCCACAATTTCCTGTGCTTTGTAGTTCTTAAAGAATTTTGTCTTTTTGTTTATTTCTCCTAATCCTTGCTCTGCCATCCATTTACTCAAACTTGCTAAGTAGGTTATTGTTTTTCTCTATCTCTCTTGCTTTCAATCTACCCTGTGAATATTAAATTTTCCCAGCCTTCTTTCCTCATTATGTGACCTAGAAATTTCAACTATCCCTTCTTGATGTTAACTATAAATGTCCTTTTTGTTTCTGTTTTCTCTAAAACTTTGTCATTGCTCACATGTTTGATCGATTGTATTCTTGGCATTTTTCTGTAGAACCATATTTATGTTGCTTAAGTTTCTTTCTCATCTGCAAGGAGATTGTCCAGCATTCCCAGCCATATAGAATAACTGATACTGCATAATAGTTCAGTACTCTTTTCTTTGTTTTTAATGAAATTTTCCTGTTTCTTAATACTTTGCTTAGCTTTTGGAAGACATCTTTTACTAAGCCAATACACTTTCAGATTTAAGTGCCACACTTTCTATCCTCTGTTAAAACACTTCCCAGACATTTAAATTGGCATGACGCTGTGACTCAACTTACCTTGAAAAAAAGAAAAGGAAATTGCGGAGAGCCATAATTAACCTACTTGACAAACTTGTTTAAATGGATGGCAGAAACGTGAAGGGATAGTAAGGGGACAAACATTGCTTAGAGCTACAAAGAATAGGAAGTTGTGGAGAGCCAGGATCAACCTACAAGCTTGTGCAAATGAATGGCAGAATCATGACTGGAAGAGACAGTAAAGAGAAAAACTGCTTAGAGTTACAAAAGATAGGAAGTTGTAGAGAGCCATAAGACTTAATAATTAAGTCATAAATGGGGGAGAAAGGAACTGGAAGATATAGTATGTAGAAAAACATTGCTTAGAACTAAAAAGGATAGGAAATTGTGGAGAGCCATGATCACCTACTTAATGATCTTGTGTAAAATGAATGGGACTGGGAGGGATATTAAGGGGACAAACATTGCATAGAGCTATGTAAGATAGGAAATTGTGTAATTAGATAGCAGAACAGGGTCTAAGAGGGATTGTAAGGGTATTTGCTCATCTCTATCTATAAAAGGAAGGATGTGTGTGTGTGTGTGTGTGTGTGTGTAATGAATGCACTGCTGCAATTTTCGACGGATTTGCCCCAAAATTTACATGCACATGCTCCAAGTTAGCAGGAAGGCCAAGACCGACTTTGCATTTCCCAACTCCCATCAATAGTGGAAATAATCGATTTTTTCATGCTTCTATGGCAGTTTTCATGTAGTTTGCGGCCATTTTCTACTGACCAGAGTGAGAGCCTATAGCTGGTTCCCACGAATAGGCAGGAAGATTCTGTTGAATGTTCTAGTGAATGTTAACTAGCATGCTAAAAAAAAAAATCGATAGCTGCATTCATCACAAGTGGGAAAAATTTAAATCTGCATGGCACTTTACTCCAATTGGCTCATTCGCTTGATTCTGATTCCGCAGAACTGGGTTGGGTGTGAAAAAGTATTTGTTGTTAACATTCTTTTGTCATTCGGATTTTCCAGTTACGAGTCTTTTTTTAAAGCTGATCGTTTTGTGTTCATTTTGTTAATTCTTTTTTCGTAACAGATTTAATGTTTAGTATAGAGCTTAGAAAAATTTCGCAGTGTGAGATAGGCAAGAAGTAAGGCATGTAGCAACATCAGCATGGCAAAAGGCACTCATTTAAAGGCAAAGAAGGGCAAAAATATTTTAAGTCAATTGATAGTGATTGCTGTATGAGTCGTACGATTTTTGAATGAAGCACGGGCAACGCCGGGCCATGCTGCTAGTGAGTGAATATAATGAACCCAACCAGAATTAGAACTCAGCTCACCGATTATCAATTCCAGGACATTATTCATTAAATCACCTGTACTTCCAAGCTTACAGCAGCTGGTATTCCCAAGCGGTCACCTATTTTGGGACTGACCTGGCTTAACTTTGGTGATCGTACGAGAACTGGTGTTTCAATGTGATATAGCCATACACCACTGACCAGCAAATGACCAATCCTTTCAATTGTAAAACGCTTGGTCAAGTGAATGGTTGCGGTCATTGAGCCTTTCACACAAAGGCAAACAATCTTCCCAAATGCATTTGTCATGGTAAGTAAGTCACAACTGTCTATCAGTGTGTATCTGTGAATGCAAACTCCGTGTGACCTGCTTTTAAAGAGTGGCGGATTAAGATGAAGGGGAGTTAGGTGAATGGGTAGGGAATTATTCAATTATTTACCATTAAGTAAGCTAGAAAGAAGTTAGAGTGAAACAGATTAAGAGAACTTAGGACAAGAGAGACACACAAAGATGATGGGTAAATCAGAGAGAGAGAGAGAGAGAGAGAGAGAGAGATGGAGAGAAAGAAAAGGGCAAGTAAATCAGAGAGAGAGATGGAGAGTAAGAAAAATGGGTAAACAAATATGAGAGAGAACAAGACAGTAGACAAATCTGAGAGAGAGAGAAAGAAAAGTCAAGTAAATCAGAGAGAGAGATGGAGAGTAAGAAAAATGGGTAAACAAATATGAGAGAGAACAAGACAGTAGACAAATCTGAGAGAGAGAGAGAGAGAGAAAGAAAAGGGCAAGTAAATCAGAGAGAGAGAGAGAGATGGAGAGTAAGAAAAATGGGTAAACAAATATGAGAGAGAACAAGACAGTAGACAAATCTGAGAGAGAGAGAAAGAAAAGGGCAAGTAAATCAGAGAGAGAGAGAGAGATGGAGAGTAAGAAAAATGGGTAAACAAATATGAGAGAGAACAAGACAGTAGACAAATCTGAGAGAGAGAGAAAGAAAAGGGCAAGTAAATCAGAGAGAGAGAGAGAGAGATGGAGAGTAAGAAAAATGGGTAAACAAATATGAGAGAGAACAAGACAGTAGACAAATCTGAGAGAGAGAGAGAGAGAAAGAAAAGGGCAAGTAAATCAGAGAGAGAGAGAGAGATGGAGAGTAAGAAAAATGGGTAAACAAATATGAGAGAGAACAAGACAGTAGACAAATCTGAGAGAGAAAGAAAAGGGCAAGTAAATCAGAGAGAGAGATGGAGAGTAAGAAAAATGGGTAAACAAATATGAGAGAGAAAAAGACAGTAGACAAATCTGAGAGAGAGAGAAAGAAAAGGGCAAGTAAATCAGAGAGAGAGAGAGAGATGGAGAGTAAGAAAAATGGGTAAACAAATATGAGAGAGAACAAGACAGTAGACAAATCTGAGAGAGAGAGAGAGAGAAAGAAAAGGGCAAGTAAATCAGAGAGAGAGAGACATGGAGAGTAAGAAAAATGGGTAAACAAATATGAGAGAGAACAAGACAGTAGACAAATCTGAGAGAGAGAGAGAGAAAGAAAAGGGCAAGTAAATCAGAGAGAGAGAGAGAGAGAGAGATGGAGAGTAAGAAAAAATGGGTAAACAAATATGAGAGAGAACAAGACAGTAGACAAATCTGAGAGAGAGAGAGAAAAAAAAAGGCAAGTAAATCAGAGAGAGAGAGAGAGAGATGGAGAGTAAGAAAAATGGGTAAACAAATATGAGAGAGAACAAGACAGTAGACAAATCTGAGAGAGAGAGAGAGAAAGAAAAGGGCAAGTAAATCAGAGAGAGAGAGAGAGAGAGAGAGAGAGATGGAGAGTAAGAAAAATGGGTAAACAAATGAGAGAGAGAACAAGACAGTAGACAAATCTGAGAGAGAGAAAGAAAAGGGCAAGTAAATCAGATAGAGAGAGAGATGGAGAGTAAGAAAAATGGGTAAACAAATATGAGAGAGAACAAGACAGTAGACAAATCTGAGAGAGGGAGAAAGAAAAGGGCAAGTAAATCAGATAGAGAGAGAGAAAGAAAGAAGGCAAACAAATGAGAAAGAGGGAGAACAAGAGAGCAAACGAATCAGAGAGAGGGGAGAGAACAAAACGGTAAACAAATCAGAGGGAGAGGAAGAAAGCGAGAACAAGAAGAAGGTAGACAAATCAGAGAGAAAGAGAGCAAACAAATCAGAGGAAGAAAGAGAGCAAACAAATCAGAGGGAGAAAGAGAGCAAACAAATCAGAGGGAGAAAGAGAGCAAACAAATCAGAGAGAGAGCAAACAAATCAGAGAGAGAGAGAGAGAGAGAGCAAGATGATAAACAAATCAGAGAGAGAGAGAGCAAGAGGATAAACAAATCAGCATGTGAGAGAAAATGAGGGTAGACAAATCAGATAGGAAGAGAGAGACAAAGAAAGAGGACAAATCAGAGAGAGAGAGAGTGAGAGATAAAATTGATGGGCAATTCAAAGACAGGAGGCAAGTCAGTGAGAGAGAGAGAGAGAGAGAGAGAGTGAGAGTGTGAGAGAGACAACAAGACGGCAGACAAATTAGAAAGTGAATGAGAAATAGAAAGGCATACACACACAAAGAGGGGGGAAAAATCAAAGAAAAACTAAGTAAAAATTTGTAAAAATTCAATGGGGAACCCAAGTGCAACCATATCTTCCAAATCCTACATTATAAGTACTCACCCATTAAACAAGTAGAGATTTTCATTCAATCACATATAACAAGTGAATGGCATTTGCAGTGTTTTATGGAGGGTAAAGAAAAAAAAAGGTTCTTACCTATAGAAATTGTCATCTTTTTTGTTGATAGGACACCTGTACCAACTGAGGAAGATGACTGCAATGACTGCAGTTGCTATTAAAGCAAACTTGCCCAGAAATCTCATTGTGAAAATTTTTCATGAGCTAAAAAAATAAAAGAGAAAAAAAGTCGTGTAAAAATATTGGTAAGTGAAGTTATTTTTAATGAGAAAAACATTGCTTCATGCTACAAAAAAAATAAAATAAAATAAAAAAAAATGTATGCAATCAGTATGCAATAAAAAAAATATGATTGGTTCAAATAAATAGAAACCTCTTTATAATTCAAGACCCCCCCCCAAAAAAAAAGAATCAGCTTTTATATAGACGTTTTTATATACTTTACTTTTGGTCTTTATTAAGTATAATTAAAGTTTTCATTTTGCAGGTTTCAGCTTACTATCTGTAATACACAGGCATTGGCCAACGAAATACATTTTGCTAATTTTTAAAGATGAAATACAAAGTAATTTAATTTTCAAATAAAAAAAATAAAAAAAAATAAAAAAATTAGGTTTAGGTTTATTTAGGTTTCACGGCATATCAACCTTGAAAGGTTAGTTAGCCTACTAGTTTTTCCTGATAAGGTTCGTATGAAGAGAGTATGCCTTCCTTACAAGAAATCACTTTGTAGATCAGTTTTCGTTCGTTGACATCTTATAAAGCGGGGTTTTGTCAACCGCTAAACGTATTGCTGATAATCACTTTCTCCAAAAATGTGTAGTTGGAGATACTAACTTTTTCCTTCCAAATTAGTTTACTAGTCCAGGTAAGTAAATGAATTTAAGTATACCTTTTTTCTTTTAAAAAATTAAACAAAATTTTCTGTAGATTCCAATTTCTTTAATGAAAGAAAAAAATTTAAAAAAAGCATATTAAAATTCTTTTGTAAAGAAACAAAAATAAAAACTATTCAATAAAGAAAAAAAAAATCTAACTTCATGCGTGTGTGTGATGATTAGTTTTTTTTTTTTTTATTCAACATGTCACTATTTCAACGACGGGCGCATCTTTTTCTGCATTTTCATAGCGATTTTCCCAGATTTGCTGCTCTTCGATTTATGTTTCCCTACACATCAAAATAGTCTCATCCTAAACAAAAAGTTGTTTGTCAATTTAGTGAAATAACCAGGTTTGAAGTTGTTTCACAAAAAAATTCTTTAGCGGATGGAATATCAGAGCAACTCAGAGAAAATACCATTTTAAATCAAACTTGTTTCATCGGTGGATATTGTTATAGACAAGTGTATGGTTGCAAGAAAGAAATAAATACGACAACAGTAGAAATAGATTTACGTAGCTTATTTCAACAGGAACATAAGGGTTTAGGACAGCTACCTTGGTGTGGTAAAGTTCATAAGCTGGGTCGATCTCTCATAGTAGTTCACATATGTTGACGGTGGTTGACGCTCTCCTGCTGACAGCTGCTAAACGTGACCGGTCTCCTTTGTGGCCACTGCTGCTGAACTTCCCTGTGACCCCTTTTATAGCGTTTTTTTTTATGGCTTAACAGGCTCGAGAAACGAAGCGAGTATAATTAGGAGGGAAGCATTTTTATTAGACGAAAAATAGAGCACTTTAATTATTATTTTATTTTTCGACCGGAACACATGTGTCGGAAACATTTGTAAAGAAAGTTAATGGTCATTTTGTGACGGGGCTTTGTCCCGTTCACATCCGGTTCTCGCTCTTGAGTATTTGCCTGTAAATCAGCCGAGATATGTCATTTTATTTTATAACAATATTAAATTTAAAACTGGAAAGTACTTATCATAACTAATAAAAAAAAAACTGCCCTAATAATTGAATTTCTCGAAATTTCATGAAATTAAGTCAGTTGGTAGTAAGTAATATATGTAAAAAAAAAAAAAAAAAAAAAATAACCAAGATTTTCTAATAAAAATTTTCAAAAATAATTCCATTCCTTTCTGAATATATCCTGAAAGTTTCATTAAAATTCGACAATTATTTGATTTTTGCAAGAATTTCCAAGTCAATGTGTTTTTCTCGGGGGCGGCGGGGGGATGAACAAAAAACAACAAAAAAAACCCTTTATCATTACATCGGCCGCTGACGTAAAACAAGATTTTTAAATGTCACGCTCAAATAACTTCCGTCTTTGATTTTTATGCATTCTCTCTAAAAAAAAAATTAGAATTCATATTATAAAATAAATATATAAACTGTCTGCTTATATTCTAATTTTTAGTTATTTAAATTTCGCACACTCACGTTTGTCCATAAAAAAATTAATTTTTTAATATTGTGTCCCGTTTTTCTTTGAATGGACATTTATTTTAATTTATATTTGTAGCAGGCAATATTTTCTCTCATTTTCGGGTTTCGGGATTAAACTGATAATTTACATTTTTGTAATGGTCATTGTTATTACCTATTGGATCTTTTCTTTTAGGACGATCCAAGCAGTGGGAATTGCGTGATTTTTTTCTAGTTCAGCATAAGTGGTGATAATTTTGGATTTCTTTCTTTCTTGATGGAGTAAGTTTTTTCGTTTTGTATTGAGGAAATTCTTTGAACTTATTTCATTTTATTTTCAGTTTCACTTTTGTTGTCTTTAGTTTTTGTTGTACTTGTTTTTGTGTCTATATGTAAATCAAACTTTATTTTCTGTTAGTGTATTTTCTTTTTGTGTTTTATCGCCCTCCCGATTTCGTTTCTCTAGTTTGTTGTTCATTAACTTTTCGTTTTATTTATTAACTCTGTTTTTGTTACCCTTTGACAACTTTAAGTCATTTTTTTGTTTTCTTTTAAGCTAAGTCTGATTTTCCTTTGTCCGCAACTTTAGGTCGTCCTTTTTTTTTTTTTTTAACAAGACCTTTCCTTTTAATTTAATTACTTTTTCGCTTTTTGAGTCATAATTGTATATAAAGCGAACTTTGTTTGGCTGTAGTGGGTTTGGCCCACCATGACAAAAAAATTTAGATACACCGGCGGTACAAACAGAAAATATGTCACCGCCTAAAAAAAAGGTCAAGGGAGAAAACAAGGCCAACGAAAAAATAAATAAAGGAAGAAAATAAAATAAAAAGCTATTACGGTAGCTTAAAAGAAAAATACGTATTGTATACCAAAAGGAAATGAACTCCTCACAATTCCGGAGGCATTAGATGCAGTTAAAACAAGAACTATCTCTCTGCTGACCGCCGATGTAGGAACTGAGATTGGGGTCAGTAGGGAAACCATGGAAGAGGCCTTAAAGAGTCTAAAAATAGGATCAAAGATTTTAGCGAGGGGGACTAATGCCATGTTGGCAGGAAGTACCCTGACTACAAAGTCAGTTCGCCTTCAAAAAGATTATTTGGGAACGAGGCTGAAAAAAAATCACAGTCCATGAAGCCAGTGGATATGCTGGGGACCTTTTTGTACACAATGCAGCCAAGTGGAAGAAATGACGGCAAGGATTAGCAAGGAAGAGATCCGTTGAGGTTCCGGTCGCTTTATTCGAGAGCTCAAGACTCCGGAGGTGCGTATTCTGAGGTCGACTGACATTATGTGTGAGGCGTTTCGGCGGCATTTCGAGAGCCAGTTTTCCAAGGTGTCTGGTCTCTGTGACGAAGAGTTTCGCAACTATTTGGCTGACTCTTCTTGGCTTTCACCGGCTAGCTGTGAGGGGAAGATCGCAGAAGGCGAAGTCTATGCGGCATCGAAGAAGATCGGCAGTAGCAAGTCTTCGGTACTTGATGGACTGCCCCATGAATTGTACTTGAGGTTGTCGCACATCTTTGTTCCGATTTTGACTGTTGTGTTCCGTCCCCGACCGGATTTCACGCTATTGAAAAGAGGCAAGGATGATGGGCGGTATTTAGATGATTACAGGCCCTCAACTCTGCGAAACAAAGCTAAAGATTTTGGTCAAGATCCTGGCGGAGCGTTTGCAGTCAGTTGCCGAGATTCTGTTTGCGCTGTGAAAGGCCGAAGAATTCAGAGCAACCTGCATCTGATCCGCACGATCCTAGAGGGTGTAAAAGACGACGAGCAAGCCGAGCTGATCAATTTGGATCAGTCCAAGGCATTTGATAGGGTCGACCATCGATACCTGGCTGCTCTCTCCTACAGGCTGCCGGATTCGAACCAGACTTCTGCCGGTGGATTAGCCTCCTGTATCGCTCTCCCAGTACTGTGATGCAGGTGAACGGAAAAATGTCGCGCGCTTTTGGGCTATCTCGGTCGGTTCGTCAGAGATGTCCACTGTCGCCCTTACTTTACGTTTTGGCGTCGGAGCCTCTCTTTCGCCGGATGAGGGTCAGGGCGTGCAGTCCGGCTCTACGTGGAATTGCTGTCTCTGGTGGGGCTCTAGCCATGGTTCCCGCGTACGCCAATGACATATCTACTTTTGTGTCGTCCCACAGTGACATTGAGGTGGTACTGAAGGCGCTTGAACGGTACGAAAATGTCTCGGAGGCAAAGATTAAACGCGACAAATCTTCCGGCTTGCGGTTAGGTGCCTGGAAGGGGGATCGATCTTCCGAGGCCCTAACCGCAAAGGACGGTCCTGTCCGAATTCTCGGAGTGTGGTTTGGGCTCGACCTCAAACTGGAGAAAAATTGGTCAGAAGTAAAGACAAAGATCGGTGAGGCGGTCAAGACTTGGCGCCGAAGGAGGTTGTTCGTGAAGGGTAGGGCGGAGGCGTGTACCACTTATCCTTTACTGCTTGTCTGTATTTCTTCTCTGTAAGGAACGTAAGAGGGCGATCGATCGCTTGCTCTCCTCCTTGTGGGGTGAGGGGATGCAACCATCACGTCGACAGAAGTATATGCCCAACGTCCGTGTCATTAGGGGGCTGGGAATGCCGTACTTGGCGAGTCACAAACACGCCTTGCGGCTGTCTTTCCTACGCCATGTTTTGACAGGGGACTATTCTGGTGAGGATTGTGAAGGCCACCTTTCCTTACCGTCTTGTGGGCTGAGCGCCTTCGTAAGCCCCGGGATCAATAGAGTTTCCTCGGTTCAGTGACCTTTCTCGGGCCAGGAGACTCCTATCGTAAGCTAATGGAGGCGGTCGCGAAGGATCCGCTACGCGGCCGGCTCGGCTTGTTGGCGGACGAGTTACAGTCTTGGGCGCCAG